CTCTCTCTCTCTCTCTCTCTCTCTCTCTCTCTCTCTCTCTCTCTCTCTCTCTCTCTCTCTCTCTCTCTCTCTCCCGCGCGCGCGCCCGCGCCCTCGCCCGCACACGCGTTCCAACCTAACGGGCAACCCGTTCGTCGCGTTGGACCGTTAATGCTCGCGCGGCAAATGAGCTGCGGCCGAATGCGCCTGCGCGTTAAGTACCCTGTCTCTTATACACATCTAGATGTGTATAAGAGACAGGTTAATGCTCGCGCGGCAAATGAGCTGCGGCCGAATGCGCCTGCGCGTTAAGCACCTGTTCGGCCCGTTCCCCCTGCGGCAACCCCCAGGAGGCCGCCGCAGGCCGGTGCCCCGCGGGTTTTTTTTTTTTTTTTTTTTTTTTTTTTTTTTTTAAAATGAATGCATGGGATGGTGGTACCCGACAACGAAGACTACCACCCCGCACCTTCACAAAACCCCCTCCCCCCCCCGAGAGCGCGAAATAACGGTTCGCGGACCCCGTTCATTCGCGTCCAACGCGCGTTTGAACGAGGATTGAACGTGAATTGAACGCGCGTTCAATTTTTTAACGCGGACCCCGTGTTAAATCGATTTTCGGACACATAGCTCGTGGGCGATACTCGCGACGCGAGTAAGACCAGAAGCCCAAAAGTGCGAACAAGCTCGAGAGACTGCACGGTGGACTCCACGGAGAGAGGAGCCGCGGCACAAAGCGACTGCCTTTTGTCTCCCACGCTCATCCCCTCTTCCTCTCTCTCCCTCTCTCTTCTCTCTCTTCTCTCTCTTGTCTCTCTCTCTCTCTCTTTTTCTCTCTCTCGTCTCTCTCTCGCTCTGTTCTTTTTTTTCTCTCTCTCTTCTATTGCCGCTTTCACTCTTCCAGCGAGCGTAGTCTCTCCCCAGCCTTCGTTTTCTCACTCTCCGTCTACCTCTCTTTCTCTCCCTCTCTCTCTCTCTCTCTCTCTCTCTCTCTCTCTCTCTCTCTCTCTCTCTCTCTTTCTTTCTCCGCTTTCCTCCCACTTTCTCTTTCATTCTCCCTTTTGTCCCGAGTCCGGTCTCGTTCTCGNCTCTCTCTCTCTCTCTCTCTCTCTCTCTCTCTCTCTCTCTCTCTCTCTCTCTCTCTCTCTCCCGGGATTTCTTTTTCCGCTCTCATCCCCGTTTCTCTTTCACTCTCCCTTTTGTCCCGAGTCCGGTCTCGTTCTCGTTCTCTCCCCCTTTCTTTCTCGTTGACGAGCGCGGACGCACGTCGATGTTCTCTCAAGAGTCGAGCTAGAACGGGATCGCGGCGATGCGGCCTTGGCTCCGCGGCAGCCTACCAGTCGAGTGTCTCCATCTCGATCATCTCCGATCCAGTTAACTCCGCAGTCGCTCCTTCGGCCTCTCTCTCTCTCGTCCTTCGTCTGCCCGTCCTAGTCTTCACTCCATCGCCCGCCGGGATCGGCCGCCCAGCCGGTGCTCGACTCCTAGCTTTGCCTCACCTCCCCGCCTTCGGGCGCTGTTCCCCCTAGTCGCACCCCCGCTGCGCATCTGCCGTAAGGAGCTCCTGCGCAAACGATCCCTCCTGCTCGTGCGCTTCGAACGCTAGACCCACGGACGCTCGCGTTCACCTCCTCTACCCTCTCTTTTCTATCGACTGTTCCATAGCGAACTTCTCCTCGCGGCCGCACTGCTCCCGCCCGGTGCAGCCCCGCTATCGCGAAGCCGCCGCTCACCAACGTTGCGGTTGCTTTTCCTGTGAGTCACCGGAACGGTGGCAGCTATTCTCTCCTTCTCTCTCTCTCCGACGTCACTGTCCTGGCTTCGTCTCCCAAGTTCGTGCGTGAGGGTACACAGAATCCGCACACCTTCCCAGACAGACCTCGGAGGCTCTCCAACCTCGCCCAACCTTTCTGATCGACGAGCGCGAGTTCACTGAGCGCGCATAAGGAGATCACCGGCGCTGGACTCAGCTAGGTTGACAAAAAAAGTGCGCCTTCGAGTCGCGCGCGTCCTCCTCGAGCAGAGGCGTGCACTCACGTTCCCTGCCCTTCCCATGTGAGTTACCCGTGCGCCTCCTCCGAAGACGCAGCGTGCGTGTGTCCTTCCCGAACATCAGCGTTCGCCCCTCCTCCCATTCTGTCCTCTTCTCCTTATATATTCTTCGTCCCACTGGTAGATCCCCTTGCCGATCCTCCCTCTCTCTTCTTCCCCCAATCACATCGCTTCTCTCGCTGCTTCCCAACATACTTTCAACTTCCCGCCACTGTTTGCAAAATTTTCAAATTGCCCGCTGATGCTTGCCGAAATTTTCGCCTCCCGCCTTCTTCAGAATATATTCGCATGCCTTCTTTCCTTGATCCATCCCTCTTCCTGTAGTAGCCAGTCGTTGGCTCCCTTACTTGTTTCGAAGTGCACCCTCTCCCTTGTTAGTTCTGCCTCAGTCTTGTCCGTTCGTCTCCCTTCACTCAGTCATTAGCTCCCTTACTTGTTTCAAAGCGCGCCCGCTCCCTTGATAGTTCCGCCTCAGTCTGTCTGTTCGTCTCCCTTCACTCTGGCAAGGTGCTTTGCGCACGCATCTATCGCGACACCTGGACTCAGTGCGTCGAGCCCCAGCCAACGCTTCGCTTACCCACTTATCGGGTACTGGTGTCCATTCACATCCCCTCTACTCTGTAGATTCCTTTGAAAATTCCCGATTTTGGAGTACGCCTGCTTTGCCAGTCCCTTCTGCAAACAGTTATCAAGAACCCTTCTCGGTGGTTTCCCCTAACCACCTTGATTCCTCTCAATCCCCGCCTTCGGCCTTTTCTTGAAGCAGCTACCTCGCCCTGCCCTGTCGTCTCGCTTCCATCCCCCGATCACTGCCCCCTTGCGTGTATGTGCCACGCTACTTCTTCCCCTGCATTGTTGCGCATATAACCCTGCTCGCGGTCATCCCTCGTCGTTTCTACCTCCCCTCCGGTTAGCGTGGAGCCCAAGAACCCCAAGGCTTAGGCATTACAAATTGCTTCCTTGCTTGATGTAGGCAAGCATTTGGCTCAGTGACCATGGTCGGCCGCACTCCCCTGAGACCATAGTCGCGCCCCACCGGCTCCGCCCTAGACCCATGGATCACTAGGATGAACTCCGAGGCCGCCGATTCGGAACCTGCCATCTGACCAATATTTGACTGTCATACGGATCGAGCCTCACGCGGCCGCCTTGTCGGAACCGTGCTGGTCTCGTCAGACAGCAAAGGCGCTGTTCGGCACTCGATCTGATTCCCCCATACCGCCGCCCCGGCCAGGTGTAACCAAGTACCGCCGTGTGCCCCCGCGGCAGCCTTTCCGCGGCAGCCTTTCATAGCCGAAGCCTCAGATCCTCACTGGCCTCTTTGTTTTTGGCTTGCCCAAGCCCCCCTTCGACGTCCACTTCCGTCCCCCCTGGTATCTTGCCTCGGGCATCGAAAACTCCGATCTTTTAGAGCCCACTCGAGTTTCTCAATAATCCGCACGGTACCAACCTAGGACCAAGTGAGTGACGTAATATACCCAAGCCTCCCCACTCAGATAGACTGTTCCTTCCGCACGGATCACTGTTCGTCTAGGCCTCTTCCCGCTCAGGGGCCTGTTCCGGTACCACCTGTCCCCTTCCCAAGTTCCTACCGCGAACCGAGCACAGAGGAAAACCCGCTCCTCTAGTTCTAACCCTCTCTCGCGACCGGCTAGATACCTCTCGGTGCGATGGTCTAGTGGGACGCTAAAGCACTCCCTGTCCTTGCTTAAATATGCTCTCTTTATTCGAACCCCTCCTCTTTAGTACCTTCTACGATCCTAACCATCCCCTTGGACTATCTCCTCTATGATTTGAACCAGCGCTCTCCACCCGTCCGAACCGTCAAGGAAGGCTTCTGGAATAGTAGGAACAGGCCTCTCCCCTCGCAAATACGTTCGATACCTCAACGAGTAGAAGTAATTAATCTCGTAGGCCCCAAGAAGTTCCCTCTTGAGCTGCGCGTGGCCGACTGCTTCCTCCCAACTATCTAAAAAGCCCGCCTCTC